CTTGTCTGTCTTGTCTGTCTTGTCTGTCTTGTCTGTCTTGTCTGTCTGTTTGTCTGCCTGCCTGGCTGGCTGGCTGTCTGTCTGTCTGTCCCCATATTTTCTCCTGGCCACCATCTTTGTGTGGTTCTTCACACCATTTGTAACGAGCTGACCACAGGCATTGGCGCTTGTCCATTGAGATTCGCTCAGCCAGGAGCGACAAGACTGCACAGAACTCGTCAGAAGGGGTAGTTCTGTGTAGTTTTTCTTTTTTGAGCACGTCTCGATGATTTGTACTGCTCCTGAGAAGATCCACTTTGAAAGGACAAACAAAAGATCAGGGTATTTTTGAACGCGTGACATCTTGTGTGGTGTGGCTCTGCCATGGCACTGAGTCAATGCTTTGGATGCACTTCTCAGATATCAGCGGGAAGAAGATGCAAGTCCGTAGATTAGGTAGGATGATATGCTGTGTCAATTTGCCCTGATATTTTGCGCCCAAACCTGGTACTTGCTTCCAGACCGTGGGGACTCCAGCTCAAACATGGATGTATGGGACACCGCCATCGGCATGCAGTGGATGTGAACGCGATGCTCGGCGAGGCTCACGGAACGCGCGGCGAACGCCTTTGTGAGCTACAATTATCCGTCCGGAGGCCCACACCATGGTGGGTCAGAAAGGCCGGAGATACCGCATTTGAACGTGGTGCATATGCAAAGAATTGTTCTGCACAAACAGTTTTCAATGGGAAGAATGTAACCCATGCTGAGGGCATCTGAGAACCCTCATTTGAAGGACTTATTATAAGAACATATAAATATGTTTGATTTCCATACCGTTTAATACTTGAACTTCATCCAGTATTGCTTGTGGACAGAGAGTTCGACAGAGAGAACTAAGGCTCTTGAAGACAACAACTTAATATCTTATCCCGCTTGAGGTTTATCAATTATTTATCATTGTTTATCAACAGCCAGTTTGGACCTGACTTGCTCCGTCCACTGTTGTTTCTTGTGCTTTCCACCAACTTAGGCAAAAGATGGAAGAAACGCATTCTCTCACACAAGGGAGTCTAAGAACCACATCCGCTTCCGAATGAATCCACTCCGACAAGTTGTCCGAGGCCTCTTCGGCAGGTGCGCCCCTTCCGAACCAACCCGCCAGGGCGTCAGTGAGGGAAGCAAATTTGCGAGCGATGTGGGCAGACCATGGTAGACTCAACCCATGGTAGGCCATGGCAGGCTGAAGCAATGATCTAAAAAACAACTGTAGTTTTGGCTTAGTGTGCTGTGTTGAACAGATAACTGAAGCATCCGATTGGGCTCACATGCTATTCAAAGATATTCAAAAGAGCCCTGTGGAAAGAAACGATATCGCACCATCAGTGGTGACGTCTTGAGCTGAGGCCAAACTTGCTGCGGAAAAAGGCAGGGCTCCAACTCCAGCGTGTTGGTCGTGTTTCTGTTCCACCCTAAGAATCCAGGCCCTCAAATTGAAAGGGTTTGGTTCAAGTCAGTCTGGGTCGGGACGATTCCCACGTCCATGGTTCGCCCTCCATCCTTTGAAGCCGTCGAGTACATGGTGAGGAAAAAGGCGTCAAAGGCCAACGCTGCTAGTAGCTCCTGGCATTACTA